AAGCATTCCACATTCGGATTGACTAACAAAGGTTGGTCCTAATAATGCTCCCACATATTGAACTGAGTTGCGCCTTCCCCATAGTATCCTCCAGTTGACGGCGGCGGTGGTGGTGGCGGTGGAGAAGGAGGCCCATGCTTCTTATGGTACGGGCACTGGCAGTACGAATTATTGCATAGTGCCTCCTCTGCATCATTGCTGTTGTCGTCGTCCGACTTGTCCCTGTTACCACTTCCAGGGCCATACTATAGGTCAAAGATGTGTCCCTATAGATATGTGATATACTGTTGATGGGGATAGATAGGAGGAGGGTCGACCCATCTAGTGAAGCCACAGTTATCTGGACAGCTTGAATCCTAAAAACCCATCTACCAATAAGTACTACTACAAACCAAATGCAAATCTAAAAAAGGAGAGAGTTCAAAGGAAATACAAATCCTCGCAGGCATCTGAAGAAACGACGACCTCCACCGTCACAATCGTTGTACATCTGCACAACGCAATCCAAACCGTGGCGGCATTTTGGCCAATCTTCAATGCGCTTGTCGTATGATCTAAGAGGTCTCTCACGGGTGAAGTCACTCTTCCTCTCTAAAGGAAATTCCTCTATTGGTTCTTCAAAAGAATCAGGACCCAGAGAACCCTCCCACACAATCGTAGGTCCCTTTCTCACCCCCTTTCCTCTCCCTCTGCCGAAACCCTTTCCACTCGAGGAACCTCCGCTCGACATTTGCTAAAACTAAACCAGAAAACAAGTTGTGTGGATGTGGAGCAAGACATGGAGCACTATATATAGAGATGAAGGCAGGTTCATCATGAATGCTACTTGACAAAAAAACTTGTGTGCGTACTCATTTATTGAATCTGCAAAGGCTAGATGCTTCATCTAAAAAACCTACAACCATGACTGGTCATTTCATCTGAAAAGGCTACACCTGTGTTTTGTCACTTCCTCTAAATGCAGTACATCACTTTGATATTAATTCATTGTGTATATGGATACAACAGTAAACGAATCTAGGCTTTTCAGTGAGTTTTCAAATAGACTTTTTATTGACTGCAACAGTACTTGTAGCCCTTTCAGTGACTGTAATAGCACAAGTAGCCTTTTCAGTGATACAAACAGTAGCACTACAGTCTTAGGATAGTTAACGAAGTACAGGGCATAAGACCATCTGAAATAAAAGCATAGTGCATTACAACATAATAAAAAAAATCCAGGGAATAAGTTCATCTGAAATAAAAGCAGAGTGCATTACAACATAGTAAAAAAAGTCCAGGGCTATACGACATCGCTCATGAATAAACCAAATACCTACTGAGTGCAACGATGCCACTTTCTCTTCCTCTGGGCATCGGGATTCTCCTCCATCGCTGCCTTCGCTCGGCGCACACGCTCAAGCTTCTTCTCCCTCTCCGCCCTGTACGCAGCAACACACCTCCTTTCCTCCTCTTCCTTATGCTCCTTTTCTATAGCCTCATGTCTGCGTCTCTGCTCAAACCTCTCCTTAACCTCCGCATCCCACTCCTTTAGGCCTTCTAGATGCTGCTTGTCCGACTCCTTGATCTCAGTGTCAATCCACTGCTCAAAGTCACACAGTAGTGGAACGGTCTGCAAGAAAAATAAATTGTTACAAAATAAATAAATAAGCAATACTTAATATCACAAGAAAATTAATTAACACACAATAAAAATTTCTCACAATCGATGCACGGCGTTGTTGCTTTGTAAGTTCCCATGCATAATTGGGACACATCCAGTACCTCTGTCTATATGTTTCCTCATCTTCAGAGATGTCTACCTTGCAAGGATCACCACAAAAGCACATAGGTCGAGGAACACCTTCAGGGAGAGGCTTTAGGTCGTAGGGATTTGCCCTCTGGCAACCATAGCTACAATTGAAAGAATTTAGTCATATTAACGGAGAACCAAACCTAAATCTAGGATTTTCTATTTGTTGCACAAATAATGAATAAACATTGGGATTACCTTGGAATACGAGCTTTACCATGCCTTGGCATCCTAACATTACGTAGAAAAAAAATCAATCCAAAGTACCTTGCAACGAATGTAAAGCTACTAACACTAAATCACCATACCTCCTAAATAAGCTTTTCATTACAAACCCTAAGCAAATTTGAATCCCAACAAACACAAAATTTAACTCAATGATTATAAACCAGAACATATACAACAACAACAACCATACATTTGGGTCATTCAATCATTTGAACCACCATACATTGCACGAATGATATGAACATGAACCAAACCTATAATGCCAAGTTAAAAAAAACACAAATAACCGAATCTAAATGGATGAAATGAAAGAGGGGAAAGAGGAGTACCTTGGCAAAACGTCAAAACCCTCGATCTGGCCTCCCAAGAGCTAGATTTAGGATTTAGGGTTCGTGGGAAGAGAGAGGGAGTGGGAAATGGCCACCTGTTGGTTCTGAATGGAGGGAGAAGGAAGAAGGGGGCCGTGGCGCGGCCTCAACTGACCGAACATCGGCGTTGAGTCGGGCCGCGCCGAGGTTAGCGTCTCGGCGTCATCTAATCGCACGCCGACCTCTTAGCTCACGAAGCGTTGTTGGGCCGTCTGGGCCGCGCACCGGATGGTGCCAAGAGCTCGGCGTGACTCCCCACAGCGCCGAATTTAGGCCTGTGGCGTTGGCTGACACGACGCCGACGTACTGGGCCCCATGCGCCAGCCCCGGACTCGTCGGTGACATGGCAAGGACTCGGCGTCGTGTCAGTCGACGCCGACCTTCATACCTCGGCGTGGTTTCCTAAGACGCTTAAAAATTGTCTATTTGTAGCAAAAATTTTGACATGGGTCTTTTTATAAAAAATGTTTTAAAAAGAGACCAAAATGCAAAAAATTCACTCTCATGTCCGTGCATGCCGACCGCTAGCTAGCTAGCCTGCTAGCTTCAAGTCTGTTTAGGAGCTAGCTAGCTACCTCGCTCGCTCGCTGCTGTAGTACTTTATTCTACTTTGCTGGTTCGTCCTTCTTCCTTCCCGGCCACCGGCCGGCCCTCTCATATATAGTCCTCACTATAGTCCTCACTATAGTCCTCACTAGTACAAACCGTGCGCCATCGCGCGTGTGGGCAAATGCGTCTCTATTAATCTTGCAATGGTTAATTTATGAGACAGCATAGATACATATAAAAAATATATGCGTATACCTTGGAAAGCCAAAAACCAGTTATAACGTGGAATGGAGGGAGCAGTAGACATGTCACAAGCATATGATTCAAATATGAGTAGATTGCATGTATTATGTAAATCTGGTAGCCAATGCAATACATATTATAAGTGAGGAGTCTACAAACAGCTGACAACAGCAACCTTTTGGTCTTTTATGCGGCTACTCAGCTGATTTACAGAGTAACGATCATTAAGCACTGTGATCATTAGCTAGGAAATAAGGCACCATGAGTATATATAGAGCATTTGTAGGGACGGCTCAATCACCAGCCGTCCCTACGAATAGCAACTTCAGGGGTGGCTGGTGATTGAGCTGCCCTTATAAATCAGACCTTATTTGTAGGGGCGGCTCGTATCACCAGCCGCCCCTGATGTTCCATTTGTAGGGGCGGCTGGTGTCTAGGCACCCGAGCACGCCACTATCAGGGTGACTCCATCACCAGCCGTCCCTAAAAAAAAATTTGAACCGTTGCTAAAAATCGTTTTTTACATAGTGATACTCTCCAATGATGCATGCATGCATGTGTCGAGTTACTATTGGTGGGAAGGACACGTGGGGGGGGGGCGGGGACCGCGAGAAGTTGTAACTAATTTGTAATTCGGGAGTATACCATTTACATTTGCTTTAATTTGGCGGGAAAGGTGGGTGCAGGTCGTGGGAGGCGAGGAAGGGCTAAGGGATGTGCGCAGCGACCCAGTTCAAAATAGTCACCATGCAATCTCCACGTAACCTTGCTTCCCGATCGAGCAGAACTACTACAAGTCTAGAAGTATCAAGTATATATACTCGATCCGTACTAGATAGAAAGCTCATTAATTATATTGCATGCACTATTGGTGTCATGCATGCATATAGAAAGAAGGAAGCTAGCTTAGAAGAAAGCTCATTAAATGAGACTAGAAAATCAAACAGGCCCGGTTTGTTTGATGCTTCAACGTCCGCACATAGGGTCTCTTTGGCACGGCTTATGCCGGCTTTGGCTTCATCTATTTTGCGCAAATCGAGGCATTAGTGGTTGAAGTTTGAAAGCGGAGTTTTTATAAGTAGAAGTCGAGAAAAAAATAAATTGGAAGTGCCAAAGAAAAAAGACCTTGTTTAGATTTTCTAGATTTTACTTTCATTTGTATTTAGATTTGGCTTCACCTAACTAGACTAAAGCCATTTTATAATCAAGCCATGCCAAAGCTATAGATCGATCCAGTTAAAATTTAATATAATTTCAGTGTGAAAAATTACAATCTAAACCAGGCCTAGATCGATCCAGACTCCGTTTCATTTTAGATCGATGACGTGCATGGTTCAGGCCAAGAGTCAGAGTGGAGAGAGTAGTCCACACGAGAAGAGAGAGAAATTGTGCTGCCCATGAGCTCACACAACAGGCTTGGCTTTAAGAACGGGTCATTTGGTTTTTTTGGGTGCCGGTTTGTATCGAGCAAATTATTGCTCGAGACTGTAACAATTTTTCTGAGCAATAAAGAAGTCTCTTTTTTTCCTCAATCAAATCAAATCAAATCAAAGAAAAGAAAAGAAGGTGACCCCACGGCCCGGTCCCCCGCCCCGGCCGGCACCAGGCACCACCGAACGTATGTACGCGGCCGCGGCCTATATATATATCCGATCCGACCGTGACTGCTGGCGTGCAGCTGGTTGAGCTTGAGCGAGGAGTTGAGTGGAGATCGAGCTAGATCAGTTGACACACAACGTACTGATCGGCCGGCCTTCCGTGCTACTAGCTAGGCTAGCTAGCTGCAACTCGATCGATCGGCTAGCTAGTAGCAAGCAAGCATGTCAGGTGGCGGCAGATCGTCGCTGGCGCTGGTGGCCTTCTTGTCGGTGCTGATGCTTCACATGGCGGCGGGCATCTCCGGCGCTGGTGGCAAGCGGCCGGTGCCGACTGCCGCAAGGCCCTGGCCCCCGGCTCCGCATGCGGTGGTCGTATCACCGCAGAAGCCGGACGAGTGCCGCCGAGGACGAGGAGCGGCGGAGTGCTACACCAGCATCGGAAAAGCTCTGGCCGAAGCTGGGCGTCTTGTCCCCAAGGTGAAGCACCGGTTTGTCCTGCTGATCAAGACCGGAGAGTACAGAGAACAGGTGAACATCACCCGACGGAACGTCGTCCTGCTCGGCGAGGGCAGAGGAAACACTATCATCACGGGCAACCTCAGCAACCTAACGGGGACGGGGATGTACATGACGGCCACAGTGAGTAAGTCCGTGCATGACGATCATCTCTCTCTCTCTCTCTCTCGATCATATATGTATTTTTCCTAGCTAAGCTAAGCTAGCTAGTAGCAGGTATCATGCAGGCATATGCATGCCATTCTGTTCTGTTCTAGTTGCTTAATTGGTCCGGCCGCGCCTTCCGATCGATCGAGCCCTGCTAGCTAGCTAGATCTGCTGTGACATGATCGATGATACTACATCATATGCATGCAATATACTAATACATACATACAATAAATACGTATATGAGACAGTATATATACCTTACATTATATATATAATAACAATCTGTCTCTGTCTGTCTGTATGTATATATATATATATATATATATATATATATATATATATATATATATATATATATATATATATATATATACAGATGCTTTAGCCGACGGCTTCCTCGCTCAAAATCTTACAATCCGTAACGAGGCCGGGCCGAGGGGAAAGCAGGCGGTAGCGCTCAGATCGAATTCCAACCGGACCGTCGTATTTGGATGCAGCATAGAGGGATATGAAGATACACTCTACGCTGAGAACGGCGCTCAGGTGTACCTGGACACCGACATCTACGGGACCGTAGATTTCGTGTTCGGGAACGCGAGAGCAGTGTTCCAGCGCTGCCGCATCCGGGTGCGGGAGCCCCTCCCCGGCAAGCACAACGTCATCAGTGCGCAGGGGTGCAAGGTGCAACAACAAGACGTACGAGGACTCCGGGTTCGTGTTTCACAGATGCATCGTGGAAGCGGACCCGAACCCGAGTCCGGATCCGGCCGGCGGCGGCGGCGCCCCCCACCCCCAGAACCTCACCGGCGTGGAAACATATCTGGGGCGACCGCACAGAAACTTTTCACATGTCGTCTTTATGCAGTCGGAGCTGGGAGCCGTCGTCCACGCCGACGGATGGGTGCCGTGGGACAAGAACCACGTCATCAAGGAGACGACCGAGAGCGTCAAGTACCTCGAATTCAACAACACGGGTCCCGGAGCCGACACGTCCAGACGCGTGAACTGGACTGGCGTCCAGGTCATCCACGACGCAGCCCAGGTGGCAAAGTATAGCATCGACGGGGCTTATAAGCCGAGCGAACAGGCACACGTGGAAAAGAGTGGATTCCCCAGCAGATCCCGTACGACCACGAGGTCCCCCGCGGGGTCGTCGGGGTCGGGGTCTAGCCTGCCTGCAGCATCAGCCTCGATCGTCGTCGTCGATCGTCATCCATTGGCTTCACTGCCTGCCTGCTACTATCTTTCAGCTTGCTTGCTTCTCTAGTGTAGATCACCTGCGGCGCGGTTTGTCCTATATACTCTCTGCTAGCCGATCCGATCCATGCTTCACTGTACTAGTAGTGCTGTACCACTACTACCTCGCTCGCTAGCTGCCCTTCCAAGCTGAGTGAGAATAAATGATTCCTGCCTGCCTGCCTTTTGGCCTTGCCGGCTTGCCGCTGCTATTAATCAGAAAATATGAGTCCGTACGCACGCCTACATATATAGATATATATATATATATATACCATGGTATTTAAATTGTACTGTTGTATATATGTGTGTAATGTAATACAGTATGTATGTTTGTTATTGTACTAGTATCTGATGTTTGCATGCTGTCAACGACTGTATGAAATGTGTGGTATTGCTTAATTAATTGCACTGTAATGCATGTGAACCAACTCGGGAAATGGTATTTGTACTGTTGTATATATGTGTGTAATAATATGTATTGGTATTGTACTAGTATATGATGTTTGCATGCTGTCAACGACTGTATGAAATGTGTGGTATTACTTAATTGCACTGTAATGCATGTGAACCAACTCGGGGTTCAATTCGGCTATGTATCATACTATAACATTTCATTTTGTGGCAGCAGCCTTCTTCTCTGATCTACTCAGATACATAATCTCACCAGCTAACAGTAGCCGTACACGTGGTACAGTACTTCATTCTCTCTAATCATGCATGCATGCATGATGTTCACTTGAATTGGCAGCTGATTTCAGAGAGATGCCTCCTGTGATTATATTGAAGCGTATTCTGAAAGCCAAACACCTAGCTGCTTTATTTCAGAGTGCCAAGGCCCCTCCAGTTTCCTCAAAAAATATTCTGAAAGCCAAACACCTTTGCTTGTGGTAGCTAGTGCTATGGTTCCTCTGTTTTCTGGTTTATTTGTTGCATTGATTGATATAAAGATATGATTTTTGTGGAGTCTGAAATGCATGCATAGATCTGCCCCTCCCTGAGTTTGTGGGTCAGCCGGTCAGTCCGGATCGACCACAGCAGAGGCGCCATCAACCAACTTCAACTCACCTGCCCGATCGTCCAACAAGAGAATTGCATTGATTGAATCGTGGCTTGGCTTGGGCATTGGCATTGGCATGGTCGCCGCCGTCCAGGTCCAGCCGTCGCTGGCCTTGACGCCACCGCCCACCCCACCGGACAAACAAGCGCGGACTCCACCACGCCCCTCCCGCTTGCCTGCTTCTTTCTTCCTTGCTTTAAATTTAAATCCCCCGCCAGCTAGCGCCGATCCAACAAGACGACGACGCGCGCACATGGAAGAGCTCCAGCTCCTCCTCCCCGTGGCCGGCGACGACGCGGCAGCCTTCGTGCTGTCCCGCCTGCCCCACCCTGGCACAGCAGCCGCCGACGCTGCCGCCTTCGTGGACGCCACCACAGGCACGGGCACGGGCCTCTCTTTCAACGCCCTCCGCCGGGCCGCGCTGTCCCTCGCCTCCGCGCTCCGCCTCGGCCTCGGCCTCCGCCGCGGCGACGCCGTCCTGGTCCTCTCGCGCAACTCGCTCCTGCTCCCACAGATACTCCTCGGCTTCCTCGCCGCCGGCGCCGTCGTGGCGGCCGTCGACCCGGACGCCACGCCCGCCGAGGTAGCCGCCGCCGCGCGCGACTCGGGCGCGGCCATGGTCGTCGCCGCGCCCGAGGTGGCCGCGAAGCTCGCCCCCGCCGCCGTGGGCCTGCCGCCGCTCCTCCTCACGTCGCGGTCGCCGGAGGATCCCGCGGCGCTCTCGGCCGAGGAGCTCATCGACGGCGGTGACCCTGTGGACCCTGCTGCCGCTGCTGCTGAGGTGGTGGCCGTGTCCAACTCCGATGTGGCGTTCCTGGCCTACCCGTCCGCGACAACAACCGCCGCCGCAGTCACGATGACGCACGCCGATCTTGTCACTGCCATGGCCCGCGTCGCGGACGGCGGCGGCGACGGCGGCCGCCGGGTGTGCCTGGCGTCCCTTCCCATGTGCAGCGCCCACGGCCTGCCGCTGCTCGCCCTCGGGCTCCCAGCTGCGGGAGCCACCACGGTGCTACTGCCTCCGCCGTCGTCGCAGTGCGATCCGAGGGCGGCGAGAGAGGCCGTGGCCGCGCACGCCGCCACGGACTTCGTGGCGACGCCTGAGGAGGCGGCGGCAGCTCTGGCCGCTCCCGTGCCGCTAGATGGGAAGCTCTCCTCGCTGAGGAGGGTCATCGTGGCGCCCACACCGTTGACGCCAGGGGCACGGGAGGAGTTCCGCCGGAGGCTACCGTGGGTCCAGCTGACGCAGCTGCTGTCCGGCACGCCGGAGAACCAAACGGAGCAACTGCCGTCACTGAAACCTGAGGTGATCACGCCACCTGCAGGCGCTGCGGTGATACAGTAAGGATGATTTCATTTCTCTTTTCAAAATTTTTTATTATTATTGTTATTGAGGTGATCACTGCCTCTCTGAGTTTTGATATCAAATCAAATACTTATACATATATTATATATTATAGATATGTCATCAGCTCAGCTGAAGTACTAAACATTGTTCCGTTTTTCCTTCAGGCAGAACAGCCTGCCAGCAGATCCAATGTCCGCGACAAACAACTCTGCCTCCTCCTTGGTAAAATAATCTCTCCATTCCTTGAAAACAAGAACAGATTCTTTTTTTTTTGGATAAATGGAACAACCATACATATAATCCATGAATGAACATATATAGAATAGAAATGTGTACAGCACGGGCAGGGCAATCTCTCTTTTGGTGCAGACGGGCAGTGCAATGCAAAAGGACAGTGACAACGGTCTATAGTAGCATCCGAGTACAGTATAAACAATGTAGTATATTTCTTCAATACCAACGAACACCTTGCATTGCTTATATAATTTATAGTATGATGAGTACTCTTGTAATAACCGCCTACCGAAAAAGGGGTATCAGACGACAAAAACAAAGTGCTAGCTAGCTAATAATCCAATGTGATACAATCTGTCTTTGGTATACTTGTATGATGCTATGCTCTTACTGTTCAATTATTGTCTAAGACTACCTAGGAAAATTTTCTACCAGGTGCCACCACCTAAGAAGATAAACAAGATTATTTCGGGAGGCATCTTTGCAAGATCAACCATGAGCAAGATCTTGAGGAAGCATCCAGTAACTGGGAACAGACAAGCTGCCTCAAAACTGTAGCACATCCTCCGCTTCCATTTCCTGTTCGGAAGCTGCTTGTCAACCTGATGAAGCATGATTCAAAAGTTACAATCAGTCGAAATTTCTAGTATCAAATGTTGAGTTATACAGTAGAAGCTGATAATTTCTACTATCAAATTGTATGGAAGCAGTCCATGAGTTTATGATGTGAATGGGAAAAAAAAGATGCAGAGTTTACCCCCATACTTACAATGCTATAATTCCCTACCTCTAAGATTTCAAGTGACAACTTTTGCATTTTTCCGTCCCATAAGCATGAAACATATAAAAATCTAAATTCAAAAGACCTTCAGATGTACTAGAGATTTTTTAGATAAACGGTGTACTAGAGATTAGGCAATCACATACGTCTCCCCTAAAGTTCCCGGCAAACATAATTTAGTGTGCCATAAAATCTTGGTCAAAAAGGCTATACCATCTGCAAGATTTCTATTGTCTTCTGTTAAGTAAAAATAAATGTGAAAAATCCAAGATAATTATGATTTAATGTCCACGTCATCATTGCATTTATTTGATATTGTAGATGTTAATTCTATAAACTTGGCCAAAGTTAGACATATTTAACTTAGGAAAAAACTAAAACGACTAACAATTTGAAACAGAGAGTACAACTTAGCAACAGCATGATGCAGTGTGCACTAGACAATTCATGAGTTAGAACCCTATTTGAACAAGTTTCTGACCAAAAAGGTCGTGTGGAATGGAAACCATAAAGCTACAACTGTAGCTGAACCCCTGAGTACATCAAACATTGTTCCATCCAAGCATGCTGCAGATAGGACTTACTATTCGTCGTCAGAGACCTCTGCACTACCTGCCACCCACTTCCAAACACCCCCAGATTTTCGTCTCTGAGTCGTTGCAATGGTTTGCTCCACCTGAGATATTTGTTGACGCAGTACATCTAGTTCATTCTCCAAAGAACCAGCAGATTCCAGTCTCTTCCGTGCAGCAGCAATTTGCGACTAAGTTGAGAGATTCAGGAAAAAAGACAAGTGATCAGAAGCATAAGAAGAAAACCAGAAAATAAGAGGATCAGCGAATCAATTGTATGTTTAAGTTTAGCACCTCAAGCTTCTGGCATCTTGAACCCTCTGCTGCTAGTTGATCTTGAACTGATTTAAGCTCCTTTGAAAGGAGAAAAGGCAAAGATTGTCAACAAAAAATCAAGAATTCCATATTGCAGAACGTAAAGAAAGCTTTACCTTTGCTAATTCACTATATGACAAGTTTGCCATGTCTAATTTATCCTTTAGTTTTGAGTTTTCATCGCGAACTTCTGCCAGTCTGGACGCTAGTTTACCATTCTCTCCATTAAGTACATCAATTTCAGCAACAAACTTTTTGAATTACTTGCAGGTTGAGCTCTCTTGATGTCAAAATCATCTGTAGCAACAATATCTCTGGTTTTCTCATCTGTAGCAGTAATTACAGCATAGGCAGCTGTCACAGAAGCTGCGGCGGCAGCTGCAGCTGGTGATTGAAGAAGACGAGGTTGAACTAAATTTCTTGCCTTGGGTTTCAAAACAAAGATCTGCAGAAAAGTGCTCATTTTTGTCAGATGGTTAAGCATGTCTTTTAACATCAGGAATAGATAACTGAAAGAAACTCAGGCACTCAAGCCGCTAACATATACGAAGACAATCCCAGAAAATGAATCTAATATCTGACATTCAACATATGAATCATTTCAAAAAAAAAAAAAAGTAATATGACTAGATATCATTCACTTAAACTGAGCACCTCGTTGCTGTATTTCCCATTGTAACCGCCAAAGGCAATTAGAACCTTTTCACCATCAACTGTGGTTGAGCAAAGGGTGAGACCCTGTATAAAGTATCAAATAAGCACAAGTCAAAAGACAGTATTAAAAGTGTGTTGGTAAGTCACAGTTTAGTCTTACATCACCACATTTTGCAAAGCTCAAGATCTAAGGAACATGAATGTGTTTCTTAATGGCATATTTGATTGTTGCCCCCAAAAATAAACAGCACACTGTCATTTATTTAGGCTAATGTTGAAACAAAAAGAATTGCAAATGAAAGTACCACAAAGATGGCATGGCATTTTGTAATGGTGTTTGCAAGAGTAAAAGTTAAACCTGATTGTAAAGAATTAAGCCATCCCTAACATCTATCCAAAAAAGTATTGTAACCAAATCTAGATGTGTTGGAAAAAAAAATGAAAACAAGAGTTAGATGTGAATAATCATGATAATATGATATTTAGTAAATAAGCAGTGTACAGAAGGCAAAATAAAAAGTTGTCAATGTGAGTCTATTTCATTTTTACATCCATGCACTCGAGACATGAAATTGCAGATGGAATGCTGCTACAAGACTACCTTACTTTATGGTGAGTTTAGCTAATTCCAGAACTAGGAAACACAATTGCACCAAATATTTCTTACCTCACAAGCTAGAGGATCTCTAGCTGAGACGCTGGTGACCACTGACCACACAAACTTGGAAGCATTCATTACAATTGTATCAGTGGAACCTGCAACATGTGCATTTACATAGATAGTAGATCATAAGTAATTGTACCCAAAAAAATATATAAACACTAATTGCAGCATCCTGTGCACATTACCATTTGCATTATCTCCACCACCAACAATGTACCAGTTTTCATCAATCATAGCACCAGCATGACCACTTCTAGGAGTTATATGTGCTCCTTGGGCATCAGGTTGAGACCACTCCAGCTGTTAGCACAAGAAATTACTTAAGCGAGTATTGAAAGTATATTATTCATTCCTATGTTCATTGGAGTCTTCAAATTTAATGTTAAACTTACAGAGAGAGAGAGAGAGAGAGAGAACATAGACTTGATCCCATCTTGTAGAAGTACGGTGTAATTTGCTTAGCATGTCTGCATGTCACCTTAATACCTTATGACATACAGCAGCTTCTTTTAGACATAGTGAAATGGAGTCCTACCCTATCAATGGATTGTAATTACTATTAACTTGGTAAAGTTTTTGAATTTGGAAGTCCTACTAAAACCAAAACTACTAGTACGTGTAAAATGATTTGAAGGCACTCATAAGCAATCAAAGAACAAGATTATAAGATGGATTGCCACAGATTGTTTTTGTAAAATTATTCAAAGTTCCAAAGTATATAAGAACACAAATGAACTTGTGTAACCTAACTCGTAAACAACATTCAGTACTTACAGTTTGCAAATCGAGTAGGTAAAGATCATTGAAGCATGTAGAGTGAGAAGAGCCACCAAAGATCAGAAGATACTGGTCAGTGTAAACAGCAGCTGAATGATCGTACCTAGGAGCCGGACCACCTTTCCTATTTCACAATAGGAAAGCAAAACAATAAGCTCAGCAAGAGCTTGGAATTACACAAGGATATTTTCAGTATAAGCTGTACATAATTCTTACTCTGATTTGAGTTCTTCCCACATCATTGTCTCCAAGTCAAGTATATGAAGATCATTCAGTAGCCTTCTCTTGTTATCCTCTCCACCAAACATTAGTAATCGAGAACCAAGTAGGGATACAGATTGGCCACCTCGAGCTGTCTAAAAAAACAATAGAACTCAGCAAGGTCCCAGGTAAACATGTGCACCAGTTCACTTACAAATCAGTTTGTTTTTAAGTGCAGAAGAAAGGATTCTTACTGGAACTTTTCCATAAGTATCAACAGCAGACCAGCTATTGGCTTGCACATCAATAAGCCAAACTGCATCCAGAAATTCAGCACTATCATTTACAATCAGTTTGGTTCTTGTAGAACTGAGATCACTCCAATAAAATTAACAAGCAACAGGCAATGTTTTGGGACAAAGGGTACATCAACGAAGCACGGGAAACAACTGAATTACTGGTGTACTGAGAACTATATGTGTGTCACAGGAAATCTATGATCTCACATTTTTCTGCTCTAAGTTTAGTGTGTTACAAAAAATATAATGGTTTCATGAAGAAATACCTCATACCTGAAACCTTATTTGATGATGATGATGACCTCGTGTTTCCAGCTACAACCACGAGATAGTTTTTCCACTTGACCTGAGCAAAAAACAACGGTCAGCATAGATCATAACAGCTGTTTGGATCGAATGAGTGAATGAGGCTATGGGGCTACAAAACAGTAAAAAAAATCCAATAAAAAGAAAGGATTGTATGTTTACCAAACTGTGGCCTGCTAATGCTGGGAACGATCCACCTGTGGCATTGTTTTCATGATTCAGCTGGTTTGACTCTCTAGCAGGGTTTAACGCTGACCACGTGGATGTCCTAAAATCAAAAACCTGCCAAACATGTCCAAGCTTGTTCAAATATAGGTAACGGAAAACCGTGAGGGACAAGATTTAGTGGCGTGGCAAACCTGGACATCCGATAGAGAACGGCCGTTGCGACTCCCTCCGACCACGTACAGCTTGTCTTGGACCACTTGCGCGGCATGCTGTCACATATCAGCGCACTTGAGGAGTGAGGGCGGTAACCGAAGCAGAGGGTTCAATCAACGCACAACACACCACGGCCAGCAGATCTAATTCATTCCGCCATTCGCCCCCGTCGTCCTAGTGCAGTATAGACACATGGCATGGAAATCACTGCTTGATGGGCCAATGTCCCTCGACCCTCGTGAGCTAAGATAAAACTAGCCGCTAGACATAAACGGGACGGACACCAGAAGGCAGAACTACAGCGCGGTTCCTGCTGCAATCTGCGGCAGGCGGGGCATCTGTTTGCACCGATCGAATTTGCACCCAGTAATGAATATGAAGTGATGATGATGACGGCACACTAGGAAGGTTCCTAGCACTGCTGGTCACGGAATCACAGCGAGATCGCCGCCAGCAACGGTAATGGTGACGAGGAAATCGATCGAATGATACAGTAGCAGGTATAACAACAGCAGCAGCAGCAGAAAGGCAGGAACCGCTCGTGTCGTACCTTATAGCGCGCGGGCGGGCGCGGCGAGCCCCCGGCGGGGCTCAGCAGCACCCACTGGTCGTACGGCGCCGCGGCGAGGCCGGCGTCGCCGCTGATCCCCTCTCCCATTCCCCCACCGACGCTCCCAACCCACCTGGGATGGATGGGAGGATGGATGAATCTGGGCAAGATTGATCCGGGTGCGGGATTCGCTGAGGACTGATTCCTTGGCTGGGCTAGGGAGAGGGATGGAATGGAGAAACGGGCTTGGATCTGAGGGAAGGGAGTGGAAGAGGGAGACCCCGGCCCTCTCGTCCGATGACTCGGAGTCGCCGCGCGCGGCGTGTTACGTCCGTTCCGTTGGGGCGACGGAACACGGCGAACTACGTATTACGCTTCGTCAGGGCAGACACGTAAACCCGCCCTGTGAAAACGTACTTCCGTATTATTTGAGTGAACACGTTCTTCGGCTCTGGCTCTGGCGCCAGGTTAGACATGGAGCCGGAGGAGCCGCACCAGAAGGCCACACTAGGAGAAACGCTTCTGCGTGTTTGGAGGAGTCGAAGCAGTTTTTCATATACCGACGTGGAGCCATGATTTATAGCTTCGACATCTGGCTTTGGCTCCAACAAAAAGCCCATAACTATAAAGTTGTACCAAATAGGCACTTAGGCGTGTTCGGTAGGGTCGGTTTGGTAAACCACAATGGTTGGTGGTCGATAGCCAGCATATATACCCACCTGATACAATAGCAATATTCATATGGGCAATTGCTTAAAAATTTCATATGAACAGGGTCTTTAATCGTAACAAAGTATTTTTCTCTCACAACAACTTAGTCGAAACAATATTTTGGCTTATTCAACCAGTCCATCGAACACTCCCTTAGATAAGAAGATGTAGTCCAAAGAGATGTGCATCTGATGGTAATTGGCATGTTAAGTAGTCATACTACGTTTCTCAAAAAAAAAGTAGTCATACTACGTAATGTGCAGTGTTTGTACATATACATAAACTTGACTTACTCCTTTAAAAAAAACTTAACCTACACCATTTTTTGGCACTAGTTGAATACCACATCCATTGCTGCAAGATGACTAATACAAATCATGCAACAATATCTACTACTCGATTGACTACACGTACATGCATTCCTCGTAGAGGTATGCTAGATTATGACACGCCAGCCGATGATCTCCCCCACAACTCTGATGTTTGTGGCATAGAAATCGATCATACATCAGCGATAAGGGTGCGCGTGTTTATATAGTTGCCACTCTAGTTAGCTCGATCCAACTCGAATCGAACGCCTAGGATCGTTGTCTGAGCCAGGCAGATTTTTCCCTATCCTCCGAGCAAACAAGCCCATATAATACATTGTTGGGTTATAACCCTGGGTGTCTCACGTCACCAATTAGCTGGCAGGCCACGAAGCCCACGCCATATATTAAGTAGTAAAGGCCCAAACGACCGAGGCCCAGCTGAGCCAAGCGAACTAGGCCGGACGCCAAAATCAGGGTCAACCACGACCTCTCCCTCCATCAGACTTAGCCACATGATGCGCAAGAGACTCACGACTTCTCCACCGTCACGACCTCTGGGAGGAACGGGGAGAGGTCAAGCCGAATCATCCATATTTTACAACTCATACAGGATCAACAATAGAGTTGCCACAACATTACAATATTTGGTACAAAAATAATATACCTCGGAGTGTGGAAGACTTATAATATTAGTTTACAAAACATGTTTAAGTAAAACTTATCTTTAGATCCAAAAGGTGAATAGGACAGCGGAAACAAATTAGAAGAATCACATAAGGTAGAAAGAGACATCCAGATCATGTCGAGCCCACCGACATGACCTTGATTAGCAGCACAAGTCAGAACCTGCAACAGGGGTTTAACAAACCCTGAGTACATGAGGGTACTCAACAAGATTTACTCGACTAATAGAAAAGACTCCAAGGGTATGCAGAATTAAGGTAGTTTAGCAAGAATCAAAATATTTTGCGGAAATGCTTACTACATATGGATCCTTACTTTCAACTTTTAGATTCAAATTTAAGTCGTTATTAGAATCCAAATTTGCACCTGATCTAAATCATTCACTTCATTAAGCATCGCATCCCATTTTCATAAGTACCATCCTTCCATTGATTAGCTACAATGTATGGTCAGAGGGTCGAGTCTCCATAACCGTGGGGCAATGACGATTCGAACCGATTAAAACACAGCTGGGGATTCCCAACCACACGACATATACAGGTCCCAGACCTACATATATCAACCTTCACTCGGATCCTCCAAAACATGAACCGGTCCACACTACCCGAGAGCACAGTACTCCACCGCCCTGCTCCGTCCCGAATGGTATTCTTACAGGGTGGGTACACGCTACTCCTGCCATCTCCCACGCCCAGTGTGCGGTTGTCTTTTCACATAACGGAATAGCCGAGGTATCAGGCTTGCTAGAATATGTGGTCGGTACTGCAAAGTCTCGACCACACGGTGGCCTACAACGAACGGTCCTTAATCAACACAGATGGGACAAGCACGACCAAGCAAACCTGTTGGCTTAACCACTAGAGACATAACCCATGTTCTGCCCGGTCTCAGCTTTAATATCATCATAATCATCATCATAGTGTTCTCACGACCCATAAGCAGAGCCGAGAAGATCAAAAAGTAAACCTATTTCACGTGAACGATTAAATCATCATTCGACTTCTACCGAAGTCTAAGCATTACTAAGCATCAAAGGTATCGACCTACATACTAGTGGGGTTACAAGGAAGATATTTGAATAAATCAAGGTAGTCATGCAGCAATTGGTTTACACCCAACTCCTATTTACCTAATGCACATTTTATTGGACTCAATTGATAATAGCATTTGTAAACAACAAGGAAAAGGGTTGTATGCTCCGGGGCTTGCCTTGGTTAGTAGAGGTGTTAGGTTCTTCCGATGAACCACAAATGTCGAACCTAACTTCCACCGATGGTTGTTCTTCTGCAGGGATTTGATCAACGACCACTTCCTCTCCTTCGGTCACTACACGTAGATAATGATGCATGCTCAACATAAAGGAGTGCTTAAGATGATGCATGACAATGCATTGGTGACAGTTAAAAGGTCCTAATATGGCTAGAGGGGGTATGAATAGCTTATTTAAAAATCTACAAGATCACTAGAGCAATTTGATTAGTATAACAAATGGTGAAATGCAAAGTTGCTCTAGCTCTACAAGGGTTGCAAGCCACCTATCCAACAATTCTAGTTGCTATAATCACTAGGCACACAAGAGGCTAAGTCACTACTCACTAAGAGCTCTCACACTTGCTACACTAAAGAGCTCAACTAGATAAACTTAGACTACAAAGCAAGCTCTCAATTCTAGCTACACTAAAGAGCTTGCTACAACTAGTTTGCGAGAAAGTAAAGGGGTAAGCAAGATGATTATACCGCCACATCGAGGGATGAACTAATCACAATATCAATGCCAATTTAATCACCGGGAGAATACCAAAAGACAAAAGACAACCAATTTTTCTTCTAAGGTTCACGTGCTTGCCGGCACGCTAGTCCCCATTGTGTCGACCAACACTTGGTGGTTCGACGGCTAAGAGGTGTTACACGAACCTCGTCCACATAATTGGACACCGCAAGATCCTACCTACAAGTGAGGTAACTCAATGACATGAGCAATCCACTAGAGTTATCTTTCGACGCTAGGCCGAGGAAGGCACAAGACCCCTCACAATCACCGGAGCCGGCCATGAACAATCACCAACTTGTGCTGAAGCTCCTCCGCTGCTCCAAGCCATCTAGGTGGCGGCAACCACCAAGAGTAACAAGAAGACCCGCAGCATTGAAGGATATTGATTGGGTCAATATAATGCATGAAGGGCTAAACAACTTCAAAAGAAATCAAGTATCAGAGTTAGTTGAGAGACCAAAGAACCACAATGTGATTGGAACCAAATAGGTCTATAGAAACAAGTAAGATCAAGATGGTATAGTAGTAAGGAACAAAGTAAGATTGGTAGCACAAGGATATACACAAGTTGAAGGTCTTGACTTTGGAGAAACATATGCTCCGGTTGTAAGATTAGAAGCAATTAGGATCTTATTAGCCTATGCTTGTGCCCACAACATAAAGTTGTACCAAATGGATGTGAAGAGTGCATTTCTCAATGGATACATCAATGAGCTTGTGTATGTTGAGCAACCTCCTAGTTTTAAAGATGAAATAAATCCAACTATGTTTAGAAGTTGAGAAAGGCTTTGTATGGATTGAAACAAGCACCTAGAGCATGGTATGAGAGATTGAGAGATTTCCTACTCTCTAAGGGATTTAAGATGGGAAAGATTGACACCACCCTCTTCACCAAGAAGCTTGGAAATGACTTGTTTGTATTGCAAATCTATGTTGATGATATCATATTTGGGTCAACAAATTAAGATTTTTGTGAGGAGTTTGGCAATATGATGGCAAGTGAGTTTGAGATGTTCATAATTTGAGAGCTTAGCTACTTCCTTGGTCTTAAAATCAAGCAAATGAAGAATGGCACATTTATGAGTCAAGGCAAGTATATCAAGAACATGCTAAAGAAGTTTGGAATGGATGATGCTAAAGCTATTAGTACACCAATGGGGACAAGTGAAAGCTTGGATAGTGATGCTAGCGGCAACATGGTGGATCAAAAGATGTATCGGTCTATGATTGGAAGCCTACTCTATGTGACCGCATCAAGGCCGGATGTGATGTTTAGTGTATGCATGTGTGCTAGATTCCAAGCCTCACCAAGAGAAAGTCATTCGAAAGCAACAAAGGGAATATTGAGGTACTTGAAGCATACACAAAAATGTTGGATTGTGGTATCCCAAAGGAGCAAGATTTGAGTTGATTGGATTTTTGAACTCCGATTATGCAGGATGCAAAGTTGAGAGAAAGAGCACATCGGACACATGTTAACTATTGGGAAGATCACTTGTGTCTTGGTCATCAAAGAAGCAATATAGTGTAGCACTTTCAACCGCCGAAGCGGCGTACATCTCGGTCGGTAGTTGTTGTGCTCAATTACTTTGGATGAAGGCTACTTTAAGTGACTTTGGAATCAAATTCAA